CATCTGCCACCGCGTGTGATCACACACACGATATCCCATCGCTCCTGTCGGTGCTGGTGGGCATCACCCATCAACCAAAAATTCTCAAGACTTGGCAAATCCTAAACCGCAACGTTTTACCCCCCCCCAGGACACTCCAAAACACCACACTGTGCCACAGGATGTAAAACCAGAATAAAGAATAGAATAATATTCATCTAATCATTTTAATAGAATGAATTAGAGATGAAATACCTACTTGGTTTTTAGCCCCTCTCCCTGCCAGTGCCTCGGCAAACTGTAAATATTTATCTGAGAGCTTGACTCGTTCCCACTAAACGCTTGTAATTTAAGTCACCAATAAGAAGTTTTCTGTGCTCAGTGTCTCAGGGAGAGTGGTAAAACACATGGCTCTCTGCAGTAGGATAATATTCCTCTCTGTGAGTGTTTTAGAGTGGTTCTAAAAAGCTATTAGCCATGATGCTTTTTTCTAATTAACTCTGGATCACAGGGGTAGACAAATCACCTCTCAGTCTGGGCAACAGCTTTGAAAAAAAGAAAAAAAAAATCATTTTTTTACAAGTGGCAGCTCACAACTGGGCCATTCACAGATCCTCTTGATGTTGTTTAAAAGCAAACACCCCAGAATATCTCCGAGAGCATAATATCCTATTCCATAAATTAAACCCTAGAAGAGCATCCCCGTGTGGGAGCATCGGGCATGAGGACCACAGTGCTGTGCTAAATTGGGGAACATAATTGATTTTTGGAGGGGTGCCTGCGCCTATTAAGTTATTTTTTCTAAAAGCATACTCGGCTAAAAATGTCATCTTCACGTTCAACCAGATACAAAAGAAAGGCTGTGCTCCAGAATAACTTGGGATCTCCAGGCCATGGGAATATCTCCAGATGGACAGGAAGGAGCTGAATTTGTCCCCCACGTCCCAAAGTGCTCCCTGCAAAGAGTGCAGCTTCCCTCCCAAACCGCATCAGAAAGGCCATTTTGGACAATAAAATTCCTTTTACTTCTTCTTTGGTCTTTGGGTCATACTCAAAACTCCACAAGCTCCAGTTTGCTCATCTCCTCCCCCTGAGTTTCCTGACCAGGCACATTCCCAGGTATAATTTATTCTTTTGCAGGATTGGGATCTTGGAACCCAGACCTGTTACACTACAGGTTTGTTTCTTCCCAGTATTACCACTCAAAACGTTTTGATCCTTACGTATCAATGCCAAAAATTAGGAATTTCTGTGGTATTTTCACTTCAAATATTTCATTTCTTTAGGTTTAATACACATTAATCACAACAGTGCAAAGCAATGCATATAACAAGCCCAGAAATTAATATAAGTTACTTACAGGAGCAGATCTTTTCTCAGTTATGAGTGGCAGCCTGGTCTCATCATTCTGATGTTTTAAAGCAGCTTTATTTTCCAGGTTCTCTGGGACAAGCATGATTTTAATATCCATTTCCACCTGCTGCTGAAATACAGAATGGGCATCATCTTAAAATAACTGCACCAGGACAGAAGTGTTTATAAGCAGGAGTTGTCCAATAAATTTGAAAAATACTGATAAAAATTCATGTTATTTGACCCCACGCAGCACTGGGCAAACAAAGTGCTCTTATGATTAGATGGAAAACTGCAAGGATTACAACTACTGCCCACAGAGGCACTTTGGCCAAACTTTGTCCAATTACTGCCATTCCAAGCCCTGAAATTCCCACAACTTCCTTTGGAGTTAAACCTGGAGTGGAGAGGCCACGGAGGTTTGATTCCCTGGGTCAGCACAGGTCAGGTGGTTTATGGACACCCCACCTATTGGGAGGGGGTTCCCCGGGCTTCCCAAAATGATTGTAAGAATCCAATCGACCTCGGCCACGTTTGCCAAAGAGTTTAATCCTGGAATCACTGACCTGGTGGCCCAGAACAGCTTCTCTGGATCAGGTACAGCTCAGTGACTCCATGCACACAAAGCACTTGATTATCAGTAAAAGTCTAAAATCCTTATAATAATAACAACAATTAAAACATAGTAGTTCTTAATGCATTGTGTGATCTGCATGGAATTAGTTCAGCTGTTTTCCTTATACACATTATTATGACTTAAATCCCAATGGACAGAAAAGGACTTGATAAGTTCCTTCTTTTAAGAAGTCCTGAAAGCACATACTGTTTCTATTAAAGCCAGAAGTGATGCCCTGTGTTTTTATTGCAGCAGAAGTTTCTTAAGTTGAAAACATTTTGGTTCATGTTCTACTGCATAAACATAAAAATACATCTACGAAAATTCCACTGTTCACAAACAAAACGTGCCATAAAAAAAGTTCAAGAATCATTAGATGTGCATTTGAACGATTAAACAATTGTATTACTTTGTGAAAGCACTTAAAATGGTTTAATTTATTTATCTGCACAACATCTTCTTTTGGTAGTAATTACAAGCAGATGTATCAATGAGATGCTCATTTAGATTTGGGGTTGTAAGAAGAAAAGTTATTATCCAAGCCAATTACTCTTTTACCCACATGGCTGCACAGAGACAGAAAGTTCAATTTTCCCCTCCTCAGTGGTTTTGTGGTGTTTATTTTATTACTGTACCACCCCGTTCTACAGAGGGGAAACTGCTGCTGCCATGGAAAAAGGGACTGGGGGGACTGAGCACCTCCTCAGTTAAAACAGGAGATGATGATTCACACCGCAGAGTCCCCTCTATGACAGGGAACCATCAGTGCACGAGTGGGAGACACCTCTTTGTGGTTCCCAGGCTTTATTAGGAGAAAAAAACCCCAATTCCACCACAGCAGAGGAAAAAAAAAAAAGATGAGAGGGACAGTGCTCCCCAAATCCCCCTGAGCTGGGTCTGCAGTCTTGCCCTGCTGCTGACAGGACCCAGAAATAACAATATTAAACAACAATCCAGACACCTGTGGACAAGCTCTTGCCCACAGGACGAGTTTTGATGGGAAAACAGCCCCTGTGCTTATTTGGCTGCAGCCTGGTTTCCCCCCAGCCCCTGCAAACACCTCCTGTGCCCCGTGTTACCCATCCCAGGGGGTCTCTGGCAGAGTAATGAGGGTGTCACTTCAGACCTGAGAGCCGTGAGACCCCCGTGGTGCTGATCTGCTGCCTGGCTGGGCACTGCCAGGTTCCACAGCCACTCGAGGTGCTGATCTGCTGCCAGGCTGGGCACTGCCAGGCTCCACAGCCACTCGAGGCAGAACCAGCTGCTCCTGAGGAGCCCCAGCAGGAAGGGCCCTGGTGGAGAAAGGAAAACAGTGAGGTTTTCTTAAGTTGCTTTGATTTTGCCTATTAAACCCATACTACTCTCACCTGATTAAATCCCAAAGACTGTATTTTATCTACATCTGCATTCAGCAAAAATAAAGCCAGAGGAATTAGCAGAATGCTGCTGCATCTTCTCAGAACTACATTTACTTTTGTACTGTCTTTTTACCTTAAAATAAAACCAAAATAGCAGATGACCAAACTAACTTCATCTAGGCCAACGCTCCCAATTGCTTGACAAGGGTCTGTTACCACAGTTTTTGTGTCTTGCTGCAATAAAACAGCTGCTTCACTCACCATTTAGGGGGCTCCTTTGAGTTTACTTCTTTATTACCAGCAGAACAAATAGGTAACACTTGCCCATTTATAGCACTTAAGTAATTTTCAGCACGTTTCTGTTAAGAGGGAAAAAAAATAATGTTTAGATTACTGCAAAAGTACGAGTGATATTAAATTTAACTCAGTTAATTCAGCAATGCAGATCTCCACCTGACTGAGAAGTTGATAAACTTTGTGCCTCTGTTGGACTAAAAATCTGATTTTGGCTGATGGGCACAAGATCGGTTCATTCTGATGACCCAAAAAATGAAGTCAACGTTCTGAAGTGTAATGTCTGAGGAATCCCATCATTTGCTGACTGCAAAGGGATCCTGCAGGATGACAAATAAGTAGCTCCAAGCAAGACAAAAACCTCAAAAAATTGAATAATCTTCTGTATCTGCTCTATTTTATTTTATTTATTTTATTATATTTTACTTACTCTCAGCCCAAGTTCAGTTCTTTCAGGTGTTGCTCTGAGGTCACTGATATCCACAGTTTCTACTGCTCCTTTCAGGTTGATATTTTCCATTTTAAGTTTCTGAAGGTCTTCTTGCACCTAAAAAGCAAAGTAGAAAATAAAAATTATACCTGTAACCAAGCCTCACGGGATCAGAGAAAAGGATTTAATACAAATTAAATGCTTCTTAAACAGGGGGGAAAAAATACATGAGACTTCCCATACTTCTGTGCTATTATAAATAAGAGAATACAAAGCCAATTACTCAGTTATAGATTGTAGAAAAGATGGGGGAAAATCAATTCGAAAACAGACCTCACAAAGCAATGAGAATAAACTTCAGGACTGAGGTTCTCCGTTTCCTTACACATTTCACACACACCTCTCGCAGCACCGGGCAGGGACCTCAAACCCCTTAATAAAGGACTTCAAACCCGGGGCAGCCTTGTGAGGAAACCACATCAGCCCATGACAAAACCGCCTATTTACCTTAATTTCGAGGTCTCGCTGGGCTAAAACCCACAGCGCTCAGGAAGCGTTTCCCAAGCCCTGACCCGACACCCACGGGCCGCCTCCTCCCCTCGGGGCAGGACCGGACCCCCCGCACCCCCGATCGCCTCAGCAACACCAGGGCGAGCCGCGCCTCAGCCGAGGGGTGAGCGGGGGTCCCGCGGCTGCTCTGCCTGAGCAGAGGGGCAGTCCTGAGGGGCCGGTCCGGGGCCAGAGGGGCCGTTCCCGGCGGTGCCGGACCCACCTGCCCCGCTCCCGGCGCGGCCATGGCGGCACCGCCTCACCCGGCAACGGGACGCGCTGCCCGGCCCGCACCATCCGCCCCGCCGCGGAGAGGGGGGGGAAGCGCGCATCGAGCCGGGGCCGAACCCGCTCTCGGCCGGGCTCCTCCCTGTGCCTCCCCCCGCCGCGGGCGGGCGGTGGTAGCGGCGGCGGGGCGGGGCGCGGGCGCCATGGCGGCGGAGGCGGCGGCGGGGCCGCTGGCGCTGGTGACCAGCTGTGCCGCGGCCTTCGCGCCCGAGGAGCTCGTCAAACGTGAGTCGGGGCTGCCGCGGGGACCCGGCCTGCCCGCGCCCGCCGCAAGCGGCCTGGCAGCGGCTCCCAACCCCCCATACCCTACCCAACCAAGGCCCTCAGCGTGGTTGCGCTCCCGGCAGGGTCCCGGCGCTCCGCTCAGGATCGCTGTCCCTCGCCCTCAGGGTCCCAGTTCTGCCCTTCAGGTTTCAGTCCTCCCCCTTAGGATCGCTGTCATCCCCTCAGGGGCCGAGCGCTGCCTTCGTGGCCGCTGAATCCCCGTCAAAATCCGCCCCCCCCTCGGGGTCTCTCAAAATCCACCCCTCAGGGGTTCCATCCTTCCCTCGGCGTCTCAATCCTCTCGCCAGCCCTAGGGCTGCCCCCCAGGCCCTTGCAGAGGGTGTCAGGGATCTCCTCAGTGCTTGCAGGAAATAATTCATTGAAGAGGGATTGTCTGGAGCCGCAGGTTGTGGTTTGCCCCCTCAGACACCAAGGAGCAGCTTTTCCCAGCCAGAACTCGCAGGGAGCCCCACATCCCAAAATACTCCTTTCCCCCCCCCCCTTTCTATGGGAATAAACCCTTGTAAGTTATACCTGGACAATTTGAGAATTGCCTTAAGCAATACTTGTGTCACTGGGACCACATCAGTGGTCCCTGGAACAAGAGGGGGACACCAAAGCAACCCCACTGGCTCAGGATTATGGGCAAGGGAAAAACAGAAGCAAATTAAATACTGACCCTTTGCTTTCACCTTCCCATTCATGAAGTGAACAGAGTGTCTTGGACCTTCAGGATGGTGGGATTTCTGAAATTCCTCCTGGGTCTGGGCTCTTGCGTTAGACCGCTTGTTGTCCCAGTGCAGAAACACTAAAAGGGAAAAACTAGAAAATAAAAAACAAACTCATCTGTTCTGCAGTTGTTAAAATTACAATTCATGTCAAATACACGGAATTTAATGAGTAGGAAGTGGTTTTCCTGGAAACCCACTATCCCTTTTCATGGCTTAAAAAGGGAACATAGGAAGAGCTGGTGATAGAGAAAACCACGGTGGGATTTTTGGTAATTCTAAATTCAGGGGGAATCCAAAAAGAAGCTGTTTAGATCTTTGTGCCTTTCCCATTACATGTTAGGAAGGCCTTGCTTTTTAGGGAGCTCATGAGCAGTTTGCTGTGCACACTTGAGATGTAAAACTTAACCTCCTCGTCCCCTTTTCTGGATTTATTTTCATCTTTTCCTGAGTAGGATCTTACTCAGGACCCCACAGAGCACAGGAACTGGCTCCCTCCATCTCATTAAAGCACATTTTGAGACAAAAACAACAGTGCAAGGCCTGCAGTCAAAGGCTTCTCTGTCAGCTGAGTTGATGCTGAATTATTTAAGGATTCCACACCAAAGAGTATTATTGTTGGCTGTTGCTTATTTTTGAGGGAAATAAGCAAATGGGAAGGAATTATTCAAGGTTCCTGTTTGATTGATTGTCATAGTGAAATTAAGCAAGTAAAAAAAAAAAAAGAGTAAAAAGCTTTGCAGAAATGTTACTTAATCTGAGAAAGTCTTAATATTTAACTTCAATTTTTTTTTAAATAGTACTCACTTTGGAATGTCTTGGCTTCCACCATTCCCAGTGCCCAGCAGCTTCTCTGGGTGTCTCCTGGTTGGGTTTCTTCACAAAAACATGAAAATCTTCCTGAAAGAAACAAGATGATTTACTAAAAGAAATACCTTTAAGACTTTTGGGTCCTGCTTTGTTTAACCAGTGAAAATAAATCAGCCCCATCCAGCAGAACACTGTCAAATATTCCAGGACGTGCTGGTGGGGACAGGGCTGGGCTGAAGGGGTTTGGTGGGGTCAAACAGCCTGTCAGGACTTTCCAGGCTAATTCCAAGTCTTTTTCCAGTGTTTTCCTCCTGTTCAGGAAGGAATGGCTTGAGGATGAGACAAGTGTTGTGGTCCATTTGCTGGATATATTTTAATTTGTTTGAGTTCCTGTGGGATGCTCTGAATGCTTTAATTCACTGGGGTTTGTGGCAGAACAAAACTGTTTAAAATTAACAACATAGATAGGTCTGTCTCATTATTATTGTGGTATATTTATCACGAATTAAACCAGCAAATGAGATTGTTTCAGTATTTAAAATGCTGACCAACAGATAAATCCTGCCTGATGTGATTAATTTCCCTTCCCCTTTTTGACTGTTTACCACTCCCCTCCTCCCCCCGAGCAAATTTGGGGTCTCTTTGGTGGAGTTTTTAGGAGTATTTTTTTATGGTTTATTCCACCAGGTGGCTCTCAAGGCCCAGAATGTGGGAACTACTTGGAGTACCTGACAGCTCTGAGGATTTGGGATCACTTAAGGGGTTGTAGGAGGTTGATTCGTGTTTTACAGGGTGGATTCAGTCTGAAGAACTCTAGGAAGAGAGATCAATACCTTAGCCCCTCTGGAAAAAAAAAATGCAAAAAATAGCTGTAATTATTCCTAAAAATATTCCTATTAAACATAGTGTGGTTGAAATGCTTAAAAATATCAATTGAGTATCAGAGAACAGAGAAATTGCTGCAAGAGAGCTACACAGGGGTGTTTGATTATTATTAATAATATTGATTATTCAGCTTCTCTGAGAAGTTTTTTTCTGGTCTCCAGTTCTCCTTTTGGAAAAGTATTTGCCTCAGTATTAAAAAAGTGAGTGGATGTGAGGTTATAGAGCTTTGCCTTACCTTCTAAACCATGGTTTAATTTATCTTGTCTATGTGCAAGAATATGAAATTAAAATACAGGTCATAGGAAATGGGCCATGTCCTCGTGCTGGCAGTGCTTTGAGGCCTGCATTTGTCCAGGAACTCTTCGGCAAGCAAAATAAAAACAAAAAACAAAACCAAACCCACAAAGCAAATGTGAGATTCATACCAGCTTTTGAAAATCTGTTATAAGAAGTTCTTTCATTTTATGGCCTTTCTAGGGGGAATAACTCACCCAGGTGATGTTTGAGCCGATTTCCTTTCCTCACCCTGCATTCCTCTCTCTGGTTTTCTGAACCTTGTTGCTGATTTTCTGGGTCTCAGTAATTTCTGCACTCCTTTATTCTAACATTGATGTGCAATTCTGTTAGCTCAGACTGATTCTTATTTAGTTACTTATTTTGAACTGTCAAAGCCCAAATGAAAGGAAATTTCTCCAACCTTAACCTGGACAAAGCACATAAATGTGGCACTTTTTTCTTCCCAAACCCAGAGAGGAGATTCCTGTTTCATCCTCCTCAGTAGGAAACAGCCACAGGTTTGTGTTTGTGAGCTCCAATTTCTCCCCCTCACTGCTGTGACTAATCCTGGTTTGGAACTCCCCTCTCCCTGCCTTGTACACTGTGTTCATTCAGACTTTGCAGTTGGTTGCAAAAATCATTGACCCTTTCCATGGCAACCTTGGCAACAGGCTTTGCCTGCCTTGTTATTAATAAGATACAGATAAATTCAAATTTGTGTCCAGCTGGGGAACAGGCTGTTCTTACAGCTCCAGGAACTGCCTCTCAGTCCCCTAAAATACAACCTTTAAGGTCCTTGGAGAGCTGGGTGCTTTATTTCCTGAACTCCTCTGATGCCCAAGGCAACTGGGAGGGACTCAGTCCATTTATAAATCATTGCCCTGTGCTTTCAGGTGACCATGAATTCATCCAGCCTAAACAGGATATTCTGCCCTTTCCCTCCAGGTGTGGATGGGATGCTCTGCCACAAACTCCAGGAATGTGCACAGGGAAGGTTCCCACCTGGAAGGGCAGTGTTTGACACGATCTTCCCAAACACTGCCTGGGATTTTCATTGAACTCCTACATGGAATTTAATGGGAATCACAACCAAACTCATCTTCAGGTTGTGGGCCCAGTTCTTTCCATCTCACTGACTGTGTGTGGGAAGGTTGGTTGTGCTGTACCCAAGTCCAGCTGTTCTCTCCATAAATCCTGTCTACAGGCATTGAATTTAACACCTTAAAAAAGGCATTTCCAGGGAAAACAAGGGTTTTCTGGAGAGCTGCTGTGCCATGTCTTATTTTGAAAACAATAAACAAACTCTTTTCAAAGCTAAGTAATAAAATCTAGGACAGAGTAAGAAACTGAGTTGAATTTGTAAAGATCTTGAACACAGACTGGTTTACTGCAGCAAGTGAAGATGGCCCTGTACTGCCACTGTGCTTTTCTAGACAGATTATTTTCCTGATGCTGCTTCTATCACCCTCCTCATTTCCTTTTCTCGTTCACAGGTATCACAGGCAAAGATGACCTGACTGTGGGGGCAGTTACAAGTGGAAGAGTGACTTTTTACCCCTGGACAATAGATAACAAATACTACTCTGCAGATATTCATCTCTGTGTGGTGCCAACCACCTTCCACGTTACTGCAGAGATCGCTGAGTCCGTGCAGGCATTTGTGGTGTACTTTGACAGCACAACAGTAAGACCCTTCTGCTTCATTTTCTTGCTTTCTGTGTATGGTGCAGCTGCCTTGTCACACTGATAACCATCAGTGAGATTTTCCCTCTTGTGCCATCCTTCCCCTTGAGGCTGTGCTGTTAATTGTGGGGAGATCACTGTTAAATTATGTCTGCTAACAGCAGCAGCAGTTTCCTCCCCTTTTACTGCTGTACCCCAACTGGAAGAGAGGTTTTAAAGATAAAAATATGCCACTGAGTTAGGCAAATCCTCTTCCAGTGTTATTCCTAGCTGATGCTGCTTTGGGAAGGCTCCTTTAGGAGAGCCAAAAATGAGGGAGCTAAATGTGAGATTCAGTGCATTTTATCCAAACTTTGTTTCTGCTAAGCTGTAAGGCAGCAGTGGAAACAGTGCTTTGGCAGGAGCCAGAAAGCCTGAGACAGAAACAGCATATTTCCTCACTTCATTTTGTTCTAACACTATTAAAAACTCCAGTATTTGAGGATGTGTTCCAAAGAATTCTTTCTTTTCTCTCCCCCCTTTAGAAAACTGGGCTGGAAGGTGTCTCTGAGTGGCTCCCCCTGACAGAAGAGTGGCTGCCAGAGGTGCTGATCCTGGTGTGTGACAGAGTGTCTGAGAACGGTAGGAACCCCAGAGAACCTGCCCACTGCCAGCCACTAACCCTGCCTGAGAATTAATTCACTGACCAGCTCAGTCAGCTCCTGCTCCCAATCCCTGTGGGAATGTGGCCCTGGAGAGCCAAGAGACTCTGAGCAGGAGCAGAAACCTTGGGCCAGTTGTGGTTAAAGCTGAATCCCAACTGCACCAGTGTGCCCAGAGGAGCCCTGGGTGTCCTGCAGTGCCAGGGGAAAGGGCCCTCACCCTGCTGGATCTGCAGGATCCTGGGGGACCATGGGCATGGCTGCTGCTGCTGCATTCCAGGGGAAAGGACTTTTCTTGGACCATCTGGATGTCAAACACAGGCATTTGCTTTGGTTCTACACAGCAGTGAGCTGGGAGGGTGTCCCTGCAGCTTAATTCACTGTCAAACCCAGAGTTAGTGAGAGGCTTCTTTCACTGCAGCACCTCACTCACATCTTCCTCTGAGTACCTTCCACAAGGCCATTTAACTTGAGGACATCTCAAAGAAACCCAAAATAATTGCAAGGAGGAGTTTGTTTAACTCTGCAGTTTTTGGCACCCCAGGTGAATGAAGGAGCACACCAGCTCTAACAAGCTTCTCCCCCACACAATCCACAATCAGCAAACCACTCTGAGTGGAACAAAACACAGCTAAGCATTCAGCTGCTGATACTGCTCTCAAACCTGCACGTTCAATGCACATTTTTGCTTCCCAATTTAGGTGTAAACAGACAGAAAGCTCAAGAATGGTGCATCAAACATGGCTTTGAGCTGGTAGAACTTAACCCCGAGGAGCTGCCTGACGAAGATGGTAAGACTGCTACTTCTCTTGTCATTTTGAGAATGAAAAAAAAAAAAAACCACCCCAAAATAAACTTCTAACTCAAGTTATGCCCCTTGCAATTGTTTATGTGCCACATGATTACAGCATGGAATGCTCCCAGTTGGTGGGGCTCAGTCTCAGCTATAAAAGGTCAGGAGGAGGAGGAGGTTATTTCCTCTGAGAAATTCCATTTGTCTCCTCCCAAATACAGCTGCTGTTTATGTAGCACCTCCATAAAAATAATATCTGCTCCTTTTTCTGGCACTGAACCCTGAGGCTGTATTGATAATGTTAGGAGTATTTACATTCCACTTGGAAAAGAAACCTAAAACAAAAGAACTAGAGATGCACAAGGGCAGGGAAGTTCTTTGTTGCTTTAAAAATTCAATTTAAAAATTAAAAAGAAACTCAAACTGCTGTAAGTACCAAGAGAAGATGGACATTATTCAATGGGCTGAGGAGGGGAGGTTGTTAAAAACATTTCAGAACAACAGGCAGTGTCACACAGGAAATAAACCAGTTTCAGAATCACTGGCTGCCCATACATTTGTAACTAAAAGAAGGGAAAAAAAACCCTCAAAAAAAGTCAGAAGTGTAATGTTCCACTCCTGAAGAGTGACTGTGCACTTCCTGAGAGCCTTATCAGCATCAGCCTTCTCTCCTGCCTTCAGGGACCCAAAAAAGGGTTTACATCTTACCCCTACAGAGCCAAAACGAGAGAACTGGCAATCAGTCACCACCATTTGCTCTATTTTGGGTTCACCAAGAAGAATTCGGTGTACAATCCTCAGCTGGAGCACAAGTGCCACCCCTGTCCCCCTTTCAAAGCTCAGTAAATTGGAGCTGGAGGAGCTGAGAACTCTCCTCCTCCCCTCACCGTGCCTTTACAGGGGTTTTTATTTGTTTAGTCCAAGAGGGAGGGATGCACGTGCTCCTGATTCCCAGAAACCAGACAAATCACAAGTGAAGACCCCTGAATGCTTGGAAAGGAAATATCAGTAACATTACACTGAGTTCTTTTTCTGCTGGATAACTGTTTTAAAGAACAGGCTGTTTACCATTTAACTAATACAAACAATAGGACTAATAACGACTCAGGATGTTAATTTTGGGAATATCAAGATACGTGTTCTTGCCTACATTTGTAAATGCTGGTTGATTCACCGTGACTCATGCAGAGGAGGAACTGTGTTCCAGTGAGTAACTTATTTACCCCGTAAACACGCTGTGGGAAGGACAAAAGGCACAACAGATGCAGCAAACACCCTGGGCCAGTATCTGCTAAAAAAATGACATTTCTGGCAGCTCCTGACTGAGCTTTGGCTGTGACTCACTGGCACTCAGGAGCTGCACAGTCAGGACAGGAGCTCAAGCTGAGACCTCGATAATGACTCTGATAGAAAACCCAACAGCAGCATCACACAGGGCAACACATTTGATCTGAGGGGTCAGAGAGAGCTTGAAATTGCTTTTTAAAGGCAGCTTCAATTACTGCACCTGTCCCTGAGTCACTGGAGTTGGATTTCTAAACAATCACGTTTTTGTAACCAAAGAATTGTTTGGGTGTTGTGTTTTTTTTTTTCCCCTTTGTGAACCTGCACAAACATGGGAAGCTGACTAAACTGAGGAAATGGGAAAACTGCCTTTGTACCAAGTGGTGTCAGATCTATTCAGTAAATAAGTTCAAATCTGAATAATGCTTTCCCTGCTCTTTCAGGTTCCTGTAATTCCCAGGATTACTGGAACATTCCGAGATAGATGTTGTGGAGACAACTTTACAATAATCATTTGCATTCCTAACAAGCATCGTGGTTGTCTCAACTTCTTTACTTTCTGAAGGAAGGAAGAGTAATTCTAATACCTATTTTTATGCCCTGCAGCATTAATTCTAATATCTATTTTTATGCCACACAGCCTTCTAAAAAATCATGGGGTAAAAGGTTTAAGTTGCTTTTAACAGCAACCTAAAAATTGTCTGTTACTGTTGAATTTCCTCAGAGGGTACTTAACAATTTAAACCTCTCCCAAAGGCTGAGAGCCCTCAGTTCATCATACCTGGAGGCTCAGACCAAAAAGTGCAATTTTTAGGAGGGCACTGTCTGTGTTCTGGCCTAGATGATTTCCCAGAGTCCACGGGGGTGAAGAGGATCGTGCAGGCCCTCAACGCCAACGTGTGGTCCAACGTGGTGATGAAGAGCGGTACGTGCTGGGGCTGCAGGGCCCAGGGGGCTTGGGGGGGCCTGCCTAAATTTAAAACTGACCTTCTGCAGCAGTTGAGAGAGCACTGAGCACCCCCCAAGCTTTTCCAGGGATTGCTTTCATTGTCCTTGATAAACTCATGGGCCACAGGTGAGATTTGTCCCAGAATCGTGGGAGGGTTTGGGTTGGAAGGGACTGTGAAGTTCATCTCACTGCACCCCCTGCCATGGGCAGGGACACCTTCCACTGCCCCAGCTTGCTCCAGGTTCATCCAGCCTGGCCTTGCCATTCCAGCACCTCAGCAGCCTCACTGGGAAGGATTTCTGTGTCCAGAGTTACTCCTGGTTCAGCATCTGCTGCTGCTCCCTCTGTGCTTTACCTTGCTCTCTACCAATAACTGAGTGAAATGTTCCATGGATTCTACAAGTTGCACTGAAAAATGAAAGGTTGTTCCCCAAACTCCAGCAGGAAATAATTGGTCATTAGCAGGTCTACAAACTGATACAGGGTTTGGTGTGGAAGAAGTAAAGGTTAAATTCCCAATTTGCTGTAGGGTTGGGATTTATTTTAATTTTTGAAACAGGGAGAACAGCAAGTGCAGGGGTAAGATTTGCCAAAGAAGTGGTGTCAGATGTTAAAGGATGTACCAAGCGCATTGCAAGGATAGTTTTCCCTATAGAAAACCCCACCTGAGTATGTGGAAACCACAGAATTTCTTTAAAACAGTGCAAAAAATGGGCAACCCCAGATAATTTCCTGCAGACAAGTGATTATCTGGCAGCTAGAATTCTAGAAAAAGTCACTTCAGGTTTAGGCTCATTAGAAAAGGAAATGCTGTGGCTGCATTTACTTGAAAACCTTTCATTACTTTTCTAATGAGGATTAAACTCCCCCCAGAAATTCCTACACATCACTGCTATGTTCTGGAAAGGTCTGACTCCTGGAAAATCCCAATCCAGGAGCCCCTCAGGAAGGGAACTATATTTGGAAGGTGCTGCAGCCTGACTGTGCCTTCAAAGGGAAACCCTTGAGCTCATTCTACTTGAAATAAAACTTTTTACAACCTGTAACACATCTTTTGTTTTCAGCTTCCTCCAGCCCCTGCAGACTGGCTGCCATGTGAACCAAACCTTAGCTTTTCCTCTGAGTTACCTGCAAGTGCTGCCTGCTTGGAAGAGTAAATGTGCAGCAGCAGGTGGTTATAGCACTGTTACAGCATTGCCTTCCATCAACAACCTGTTTCTGTGACAATTCAAGTTGACAGACAGAGCAGGAACAACTTTTTTCAAGCACAAGCATTAAACCAATGTTACTTTACTGCATTTTGTCTTAAGCCCAAACACAATTCTCCTCAAGCTGTAGTTTCTCCACACACCTAGTAGAATTGTGATTTTTTTCCTCTAGCATTAAATACATCCATTCTCACACAGATTCATAAAAATAGGTATTCAGTGTAATGCAGTTGAATTATAAACAATCAAACATCCCCCATGCTTTGTGAGTAAATAAATTGTTAGCCAAACAGTCTTACCTGGGGGTCTGCAGAGGGCAGGTTTTTTTTGGAGCTGGTGCAAAGCTGTTGGTTCTCCAGGTAACATATTCCCCTCTCCACAAGGTTTGGCACTGCTGTCCCTCCAAGAGCTTGTGGGAGAGGAAAAGAAACCCCCTCCTGCCCTTTGGAAGAGGAGCTTGGCTTCTTTCCTGCTGAAATCCCTCCCTCAGTGGTGCAGGTGAAGGTGGTTACCTCGGGTGGTGCCAGGAAGGAACATGTGGCTCAATTTACATACAATTAACCTGGTCCAGGGAGACCATTTCAACTTAATTATTGACACTTGGGTTGGAAGGGACATCAAAGCTCATCCAGTGCCACCCCCTGCCATGGCAGGGACACCTCCCACCAGCCCAGGTTGCTCCAAGTTCATCCATCCTGGCCTTGGCCACTTCCAGGGATGGAGCAGCTGCTCTGCACATCCCAGCTCCACCATCACCACTGGCTGTTACAATAAGTTGGATGAGCTCATTTTTGGCTTTGCTGCCCTAAGAACACTGTGTAAGGCATCACCCACTTCCTGAATTGCACCCAGCAGTTGCAGTAATTCTGAGATCCAATAAAAAGGGTTTCTGGAAGGCTTTTTGCAAGGGTGTGGCTGCAAGTGTTGTGTCTGCCACCTCCATAACCATGCAGCCAGACACAAAGAGCTGCTGTCCAGAGAGCCCTGCTGGAGGTGGCAGGGCTTTGTGAAGGGGGTGACATCTGTAAATGGCTGGGGCCGAGCAGTGCTGGAGGAGGGAATGTGGAGCAGGAGCCCCCCTGTCGTCTTCCTGGACAGGCCAAACTAATCCCAGATCCGAGCGAGGTTCATGATGAGATCACTCCATCCACCCCTCTGCCAGTGTGGGAATGTTCTCTCTGCAGCACATTCTGCACTGCAGTGTCCAGCCTCGCTTGGGATGACTCAGAAATTGGCTCAATGTCCATTTACAGCTTCCCAAAACACGGCCCAGTGAAAGCTGGGGAAGCTTTGGGAATCAGGTCCCGGTGTTTTATCCCTCAGTTCCTGTTCCTTTGGACTTCCCAGCCTCTCACGAGGCAGCTGCACATTGGTAAGGGAATTCCTTGGGTTCCACTGATCCTCTTCTTCCCAAGCCTTTGGAAGGTGACCCGTTCAAGCAGTGAAAGTGGATCAAGCAGAGCCAGTGGCCCCAAACACCTGCTAGGGGAGCAGGAGGGGATGGGCAGGACACACAGGAGCTCCCAGGAATGCTGCAGTGGAGATGTGTTTACATGTTAGCTGGATGGGGATGGGTCACTGACACATCCAAGCCCTCAAAAGGAGAGTCTGGAGAAACGGCAGGGAAATTTGGACACTGCATCCCAGTGACATCAGCTCAGCAGTTGAGTCTAGAGCTTAGTCATCAGTATAATAATTTACAACATTTCTTCTCAAAAGTAATACTAAATCCTTCTTTTGGCACCGTTCATTGTTTCCTGGCTATTTCTAGTACAATAACTTCACATTTCAGTTTTATTTTAGTTTTTATTTTGTATTTTAGTTGACTAAAATACAAAGACCTGCAGAAAAATCTCCTGAGTCCCTTGTGTACCTGCAGCCATTTACTGCCCAGTGCAAGGCCAGCTTGTACTGAGTAGTAAACTGTGACTTAGAAAAGCATAACTTGGTAAAAACCACCTGATAATAGCACCCAATATACATATATTTTTGTACAGAAACATTTTTAAGATGCAGCTAGTTTAATTTAAAAACACTGCAGCACATCTGTTGTCTTAGTTGGCTGCTTGGGTTTAGGTTTGACGTCACTTTTTAGGTTAGATTTTAAAATGCCATTGAAATGCACCCAAGGGCAGCAGCTGTGGGAGGCCCAAAGCACCTCCAGGAATTCTGAATTGGATATTTATAAGTTGCCTTAGCCATTACTGGTTGGACAATCCTGAGCAAAGCGCTTGTTGCATCTCCTGTATCCAGCATCAAACTTGGTGCTGCTTCCCATGGAAGTGTCAGGAACACCAAATGCTGCTCCTGGTGCCTCGTTTGGAATGAGGAACCATTTGCCAGCTCAAATCCTAAAGGAGCAGAGACTTCAAACACGAATTTCGAACCTCCCACATTTGTGGCTCCCACATCCCTTCCCTGGGAGAAACACCAGTAAATCTTGCTAAGAGAGTTGAAAAAAACCTTAAAAAACACGTGCAATTTCTGCTTGAAATCCCCTTTTGAAGCACTGCCACCTTCCCCAGGGTGCTGTGTGTCTTCCCTGGGGTGCTCCCTGTGCCAGCTGGGCAGTGCCAGGTGTTGGCAGTAACTGCAGCTTCTGCTTTGTCTCCAGACAGGCCCCAGGGCTTTGGGCTCCTCAGCTCCTTGGCGGCTGCAAACAGAAGTGTTGGCTCCGAAGACCCCCCGGAGACAGAAGTAAACAGTAATTCCTGTTCCTCTTCTCTGCTCAGCCTGCCCTTGTGTTGTCCTTGCCCCTGTCACCCTGGGGGTGGTGGCTGTCACCTCCCCCCTGTGGCAGTGCTTGACCTCACACAACCCACAGAGCCAGGGAGAGGTCACTGACAGCTCCACCCGAGGTGTTTCTCATTAATTCATTTTGGTTTTTCACACTCAAATATCTGTTTGTTTGTTTGTTGACAGTCCAACCCCTCCCCAGCAGACAGAGGAGATTCCCAGTCTGACAGCAGGGAAGATGGAGCTGGAACAAACAACCTGCAGCTGGACAACGCTGCAGGTGAGGTCTTGCCCTGCTTGGAGCAGACACTCCTGGCTGGGATGGTCCCACACAGTGTGGATCAATGCACTTGCCACAGCCAGTCCTTAAACATCTGCAGCATTCCAGGAGATGGGACTTTCCTGCAACTTGTAAATGTAAACACAGCGTGGTATTACTTGTGGTCTCAGCACAGTCTCATCAGTCTTTAATTGACCCCGTGGCTGTTCCTAGACAGATCATTCCAGAATCAGCAGGAAACTTTTACTGGATGGACTCAACCACACTCCTGCAATGTAATATATCACAAAACATGGAATCCTGGAATGGTTTGGGAAGGGACATTAAAGCTCATCTCATTCCACCCTCTGCCACGGGCAGGGACACCTTCCACCAGCCCAGGTTGCTCCAAGTTCATCCAACGTGGCCTTGGACACTTCCAGGGATCCAGGGGCAGCTTCTCTGGGCAGCCTGTGCCAGGGCCTGCCCACCCTCCCAGGGAAGGATTCCTTCCCTAAAATTAATCCCCACTGTAATCATCCACAATTGTCTGTATGAACAGTCAGTAAATTAAATGTTTGTTTCTCTGCTATGGGGCTGGAATTTGCAGATGGGGTTTGCAGATGTTAAAATACTGTTTTTATGCTGATAAACCAGGATAATTTATCTTCAATCTGTGTTTCAGATCCCATGTTGGATATGGACATCCAGGAGCTGGCCAGTCTGACCACCAGGGATGGGGACCTGGAGAACTTCGAGAGGCTGCTCTCAAAGCTCAAAGAAATGAAAGGTAAGAGCAGGACAGAGGGGCCTGAGTTCTGGCACCTCTTCCAGGGGCTCAGGGACCAAAGCCAGACAGGGAGTTGGGAGTTGTGTACAGATTCCTATTCCTGTTTAGTGGGAGCAACTGCTTTTACTGAATGAGATCACTTTGTTATGATCCTGAACCAGTTCCTTGGGAGCTCCTGTCCCTGCTCCCAACCCAGGCCATCCCTCTTTCCCACAGATAAAGCTGCCACGTTGCCCCACGAGCAAAGGAAGCTCCATGCAGAGAAGGTGAGTTTGGGAAGGGCTCTTGGAATCACTCACAGTGGGGTTTTCCCTTTCCAAGCCAGAATTCCTGCTCTTGGAGAGTTCCTGGAGGGGGAGCAGTAGAACCAAACCACGTGGTCCTGGGGAAGCCTGTCGGGTATCTCCCAGGAACTGAGGAGCAAACCTGGAATTTTGAAAATTCCAGACTGTTTTGGGTTGGAAGGGACTTTAAAGATCATCTTGTTCCAGCCCCCTGCTATAGTTTCCTTTCCCTTTCCCCTTCCTTTTCCCTTTCCTGGTGTGGTTCAGCTTCCACAAGTCCATGAAAAAGCCTTGATCTCCTGGAAAATTTAATCAGGCCTGAATTAGCCTGGGTTTGGTATCAGAGGTGCTTCCCGTGAATCCTGAAGAATTGCCTGGAATTCCTTAACCTCACAGGGGGGAGCACTGCACTCACAAGCCTGGTTTGTGAGCAGATAACCTGCCTGCCAGATGTACCTGCTGCTCAGTCTCTTCTCTTTGGATGGCAAATCCCAAGTTTTCACTCATTTCACGGGAGTTTTTCTCCTCTCCCATCTTTTCTTGCCATTGCAGGTGGCCAAAGCCTTCTGGATGGCGATTGGAGGAGACAGAGATGAGATTGAAGGGCTCTCCTCAGACGAGGAGAACTGAGTTGTTGTGCAGCTGGACCTGCAGGGCAATCCTGCAGGAATGAGCTCCCCTTAATCAGGTGTTTATTGCCAAAAGCCCCTTTAGCTTTACCCCCTTTCACTGGGGAGAGGATTCCCCGTGTCCCTGTAGTGAGCTGAACATTCCACACCAATCCCTGGCTCCAGTGGCTCTGTCTGACTGCCCTTTGTCCCCTCCCAGAGGAGTTTGGAAGGCGCCACGCGCAGTTCAAGGAAACAGGAACGAGTTTCCATTTTTCAGAGGAACTTTTTGATTGCTTCCTCCTCGGAATTTAAATAAACAAACGTGCTCCCAGTTATCTCTGCACACGTGGCTGGGGGTGGGGGAGCCACTCCTGAATTCCAAACTCCACGTGTTTGATGGTTTTATGGAGCTTCTTCCCAGTTCAGACCGAGCAGGTTCCTGTGAGCCGCTGAGCTGTGCCCTGCTGGGGATGCTGTGCCAAGGCTGCTGCTTCATCCAGTGCCAAAGCCATGAGGAACGGCCCCTGGGCTCGGATTCCGCTGGAATTTTGTCTGTGCAGCTCAGTGGGACTTCCCTGGAATGTCAGGTGTTGTCCACACTCCCTGGAATGTCAGGTGTCCACACTCCCTGGAATGTCAGGTGTTGTCCACACTCCCTGGCTTTCCACTGAGAAACTCCTTTTGGGATGAAACGCCAGACAGATTCTTGCAGCTGTTCCAGCGTTGAATTCCCTGCCCAGAGCTCCTGCCATGCCTGGCAGCACTCACAGACCTGCAGAGGGGGAGTCTGTCCTGAATTCCTGAACCCCACGGAAAACACCGGGATCCCCACGTGCCACTGGAGGTGTTGATGGCTCCCCCTCCTGCGGGTGCCCTGCAGGCACCAGAGTGGCTGCTGGGTGGGCTCAGCTGAGCTGCTGTCCCTGCTGGGGGCTGTGTATCCTCACAGACCTGCTGGGAACAGGGAATGGGAGAAGGAAAACCAGGAGGAAGGTGGAGCCTGGAGATGGAGGGAGAGGAGAAAGGGTAAATCCATCCTGGCTCCTTCCCTGCTGCACTCAGTGGGAAGAGGAGTTGGCTTGTGGAGGAGTCCAGCCCTTGTGGAGGAGTCCAGTCCAACCCTCCCCAGTGCTCGTCTTTCCCTTTTCAATCTGAAACCCCACCTGAGTCAGAAAGTTCGGAATTAACTTTTCCAGTGTCTGGGTTTCCTGTCAATAAATTTCCCCGAGCCCTGAGGCTTTCGTTTGCCATCTGTTATCTGATGGCTTTGCATTCTGAAGGCACTTCCAGAGTCACTCCTGACACTCCTTGTCCTTCTTGAGATAAATCAAAGGAAAAGGAGCTGCTTGGAAAGCTGGAAATCATTTCCTGGGCGGAAACTGCAGCGACTGGGAACAAGACCTGAATCTTCCCTGGCAGTTTGGGAAGCATCTCTCCTCCAAACCTGAGCAGTGCTTTTAGGATGTGCAGATATCCAAGGAAACACCTGCCAGAGCCACCTCTTCCCAACCTTGCCCTGCCTCCTCCCATTCTCCCCATCCTTCTCCCAGCACCCAGAGCTGCAATAAGGACCTGAAGGTGCTTCATTCCAAGCAGGGAATGGTTTTCATCTTGGCTTCTTGATAGCTGAAGACTTTTTTTTCCCCTTTCCAAATATTTCCTGTGCAATAATGATAAATGATAAAGTGCAGAGGGAATGAGTTGGGGCAGTGAGGAAAACATGGATACTTCATAAAACCAACCCTTCAGGCATGACAGACACCTGACTGTTTCAATTTGATAAAATCACACCCATTCAAATCCAGCTCTTGTCTGCCTTCGTGCAAGGCAGCAGCAGCTCATTCCCAGGTTTTAACTCTTTTAAACCTATTTTCGTTGTAAATCCGTGTCTTGTTCAGAGGTGCCCAAATCACGGAGGCAGAAAGTATGGCTGGAGACACCACAGGCCTTTATTGTGCTTTTAAATCAAATTTTATTGTGGAGGGGGGCTTGGGGGGTTTCTGGGGGTTGGTTGGGGTTTTCTTTCTGTGGAGACACTTTGGTTTTGGCCACGGAATTCCCTTACAAGATCAGAAGTTGCGGAAATGAATAAAAGGGGCATCAGTGGAAAAGCAAAGCTGAAATGGTGTCTGTCACTCCATTCTCTTCGTGTGCCACAGCCTTGGTCAGGAAGAGCAGAAGAATTCCCAGGTTTCCAGAGAATCCCAGGAGGTTTGGGTTGGAAGTTCCACCTGCATGTGCAGGGACACTCCCACTGCCCACGGTTTACGTCCTTGTCCTGGATACGAAGCTTGAGTTCCAGAATTCCCAGTTGCTGCTCCAGCATTCCCAGTCCTGGTTGGGCATTCCAGTATTACTGGACAGGCCAGGCTGGGATGGCCAAGATTTTCCTGCCACTACAACCACTTGTCACCCAACTTTTACCTGACCCCAAAAATTCCAGGCAGGGTCAATTCACTCTTTTATTTTGTGGCTGAGGCTTTGAGAGATTTTTAATTCCTTCCTAAACCTGGCACTTGGTGCAGGTGCCCATTTGCAGTGCAGATGATGGGCAGGCTGGGATGCTGGAATGCAGGCTGGGATGCAGGCTGGGATGCTGGGATGCAGCTCCATCCAGGGGGAAGCAGCAGAAGCCCCAGCTCAGCATGGATTTTACTGCGTCGCTCGTGGAGCTTTGGCAGCCCCAGCACAAGGCCTGGACGAGGCCCTTTATTACCACATGGTTGGAAAAGCCAGTGGAAAAAGTGTTCTCGTAAATCCTGTCAGGAAAAACAACCCAGAAAAAAGTGAATTCCAGTGAAAGCCTCGGAGAGCCACGAGGAGTTCATGGATCACCGTGTGCCGTGGTTCTCCCTGGGCTCAGAGAGGGGATGGAATTCTGCTCTTTGAGGCTTTTCTTCAGGGTTTGCTCAGCACTGCAGGCAGAGACAGGACACCAGAGCCTGGGATCTGCTCCTGACAGGACACCAGAACCTGGGATCTGCTCCTGACAGGACACCAGAGCCTGGGATCTGCTCCTGACAGGACACGGGACAGGGCAGGGAGTGCTCCCTGCAGCTCCTGAGCTGGGAATGGGGATCCCCAGTTCCCTGAGCTGAGAATTCCCAGCCCTAAGGTGCATTCCAGCAGCAGTTTGAACAGGGGGCAGGGAGGGAATGTTCAGCTACCTCTGACTTTCCCAGCACTTGGCCCATAAATCCTTGGAGCGCAGAGCTCGGAGCTGCTCCCCTTTGGATCCTCTTAGTGACAAGTTGCAGGGTTTTAATTCATTTTTTCGTATCTGGCTTTCAATTCTCAAACAAAACCATAAAAAGAATGAAGGTCTTACCTGTCACTGAGGTCTCCTATGTGTTACTGGGAAAAACTTTCACTACCCAAACCTGGAGGTGCTGCTGGCTCCGAACTCCCTGTGGTTTCCAAACTCCAAACTGTCCCTTTGTGCCCTCCAATCCATCCTTACAACACCCCCATTCGCTCACGAGCCTCAGTTTTCAAATCAAAGTTTATTAAAATGTCAAAAACAGACCTTACAGTTGCACAGGGGAAGGGGAGGGAGTACATGGAACAAACAGTGAGTAATGGAGCCAGGGGAAAGCGGGGATGTACAGCAGGAATTCTACCACTAACACAAACATGCTCATAGGGATCCATCCCAGGGCACAGCTCCGGCGGGAATGGGCTGGATGTGACCCCCCAGGGACACTGGGGTGGGGTCCCCAGCACTGGAGGGGGCAGAAGATGAACTGACCAGTTCTGGGGGAAGAGGTTTTGTCTTTTCAAAGCCTGGAGAGCTTTCAGGGAGGGCCCGGTGGGAGCCCCACGTGGGCCTTCACTCGCCAGGGTTTGTGCCCAGCTCTGTCCTCACACCACAACCTCCTCATTCCCAGCAATCATCAGGGAGGAACAGATGGAATATGAATACTCCGAGTCCTGAACTGCCCTTGCTGCTGAAAATTAAATATTTGATTCGTCTGGATACTCAAGAAAGGAAACATAAACACAAAAGCACGTACGGTAAAAACCAGACTGAGCTCGACCACCCCAGAGGGGCTCCTCACCACCCCAGAGGGGCTGATTCTCATCCCAGCTGAGCACAGCTGGCACATTCCATCCTCCCACCCATCCAGCACCTCAGGAAAGCTCCTGCATGGTTTGGGATATGGCTGAAATCCTTCACTGAACCCTCAGTTCTTCCTCCCTGTGCTTTTCCAGGCAGGAAGCAGCACAAGGCACAGATGCTGCCTGAGAGGATTCCTGAATATCCTTCCCCCTGCAAAGGAGTCCTGGGCAGGTTCAACTCCTCTGATCCATTAGGGGAGAGGAAACTGGGAGGAACTCAAAGTAACTCAGCCTTTTGCTGGCACACGGAGACAGAGCTCCAGGGAAACGAGTTCTGGTTGGATTTCTCCATCTTTGTACATATGCACACTGATTCCTGGAGATTAAATCAAATGGACAGCCCTGGATTACTTCTAAGACAAGCTTAACATAAAATACAAACTGCAATTCCAGACATTAAGAGGAAAAGCAGATCACCCCAGCCCTGGAATGGCAGAAGGCCATGGGTGTCACCAGCCAGGCCCTGTGCAGCCACACCCAGGAAAGGGTCAAAATTCCTGCCACTCCCCCTGCCAGCAACAAAAATGTGTGAAATCCTGGGGGAACGGCCAAGAGTGCCAGGAAAGGAGAGGGTATTCCAGGCTGGAGCTGGAATCTGAGCCAGGGCAGGGCTGGGCTCATCCCTGTGTGCTCCACACCAGTGAAGTCCCAGGAAAAACCAACTCCCAGCAAAGCCACCTGTGCCTTCAGGGCCCCCCTGCACTCCCAGCCCAGGTCCTGCTCCCTGTTCTTGGTGTCAGCAGGAATGGGAACCCAATTTTATCCATAAAACAACTGCACTGAGAGCAAAGGCAGTGCCAGCCACGACACCCCTGGGGTCACCCCCAGCCTCAGCCCTGGCTTTGCCCATTCCCCTTCCCAAGGTGACTCTGGCACCCCCTGAGCTTTTGATGAATTAGTGACAAGCGAACAAAGGGCAGGAAATGAATACTTTAGTGGAGATAATCTCTGGTTTATCTCACTGCACTGCTGGCCCAGCTCACATTTTCCACTTAAGGGATGGTGAGGGGAGATTAACCCCAAGTTTTTATGCACCATCTGAGTCCTGCTTTTCCAAAGGCCTCAATTAATAACAGCCAGCAATTAATGAGCCCTTAGCCAGGAGATACAGATCTGGTTCCCGCTGGCACTGCAGGCTGAGGAGGTGACTCTGTGTGCAAAATTCATATTCAAGCTGGGATTTATTCCCACTCGTGGCCTCTGGGCCAGGCTGGGCTGCTGCACACACTGTCACTGTAATCCCTGCCTCTGGAATTTCAGGTGCCATTTCTGTTGTTAATGCACAAGGCACCAACTTCCTCCAGGATTCTGAGGACAACAACACTTTGTCAGAAGTAAAGAAGTAAATAAGACAGTCAGAGAGCAAACCTGGGGCCATTTTACAGAGCAGATATTTCCCCCTCTCTTCCTAAACAGCCAAAAGTCAACTATTCCCACAAAACACAGGATAAATTTTTGTTTGCAACCAGGTTAGAAACCTCTGTCTGAACAGAAATGCTGAATCAAACCACAGTGAGACACAAACTGACCCTGTAAGTGGCTAGAAAACCCTATTTTATACATAAAATATAACATAAACAGCTCTTCCTGCCCCAGTCACATCAGACTAAACCAGTTAAACACCTCAGAAAGCCCCCAGTGCTGCTCCAGCTCGTGCTGCCCAGGGACAGCTCCAGGCAGGGCTCTGCAGGAGGATATTCCCAGGAGCTGGAGCACATCCACCCCCCAGAACCTTCCTCACAACTTCAATTTCAGATATTTAAAACAAAAAAAAAAAATAAAAGGTAATTTCTTGTTTCTGGAAGAAAACCCTCTAACCCAGCCCGTTCTGAGGAGCAGCAGCCACCCCAAAAGCGCTGGGGTTTGGCAGGGCAGGGGCTGAGGGTGACACAGAGGCCCCAGGGGAGGAGCAGGTGGGAATGCCTGGGAGGTGCCTGAAATTGGGATTCCGAGCAGCTCCCCCTGCCCTGCCGAGCTCAGCCTGCAGGACTGAAACCTTGAACACAAACCATCCCAGCCAGCCCTTCCCACAGCCACATCCAGCTGCTGGCTTTGTCTTTCATAGAGAAAATAAAATAAAAAAAAAAAACCCAAACAACAAAAACAAGACAAAAAGATTTCCATAGGAAACTGATTATCACTTTCTCCCCTCCCCCTCTAATATTTTGGCACAAATGCAGAAGATTATTCACTGCAGATAGAAAGAAACACAGAATTGGACAGCACTGACAAAGTTAAGAGACTTATTTGGCAAATGTGAACCATAAAAACAAGTGCTAAGGGTTTGGGGTGTTTTTTTTTTCCAGTTGTGGAAGTTGTTTGCCATGACAGTTGCTGCAGGGAAAAAAAAAAATATTAAACAGTCTGGAGCATGTATGTTTAAAATGAACATTTTATAATACAAGTAAATACACACTCCCCCCAGTTCTCCAGGCAGGAACACATCCAGGAGCGTTTCCATCAGCTGCAAGGAGTTGTCAGCAGAGGTGGCTGAGATGTCCAGGCTGTCACAGGGGTGTCCCACCCTGGGCTGTGTTGTGGCACTGCCAGCTGATCCCACAGATCCCCTCCAGCCTCAGGAGAGCCAACACCATCCACGAGAGAGCAAACAGATCCCAAACCTCCTGCAGTTCATGCAAACAGCCAAGGGTTTAACCCTCCAGAGCTGCCCACAGAGCAGTGTCCATCTGGGAGCAGCTCCGCTCAGAAGTCGCTGCAGCAACATCAGAAAGAGCCTGAAATTTGGCCTTTGGCTCCCTGGCAGTCCCGGCTGAGCCCCCAGGCTGTGGCCCTGGGGAGTGGAGCAGTGGGGGAAACTCCTTCCTTTGAGGAACAATATTGGAGGAATTTGTTCCTGGGGTTGCTTTAAAGGCTTCCTCTCCCCCCCTGCTGCTGCAGTTCCAGGTGTGGATCAGGGGGATGAGCCAGGAATGCAGGAGCAGGAGTCGTGTCTGGCGTTCCCAGGGTCGTGTGAGGCAAAGGCAAAGTTTCCTGGGAGCTGCGGTGGCTCCTGTGTGCCCACCCAGAGGCCACAACCCACAGAGGGCACAGACTATCCAGTCCTTTATCAGGATAAACTCCAGCTCCACATTCCAACTGCAAGGGCCTGGAGCATCCCACCCAAAGTGCCAACAGTTTCAGTGGAAGTGGCTTCAACAGGGGATTTTAAAAACCAACAAAACAGAGAAAACCCACCTTTCTTTTTTTTTTTCTTTTTTTTTTTTTTTTTTTTTTTTCTTTTTTTTTTTTTTTCAAGGAGCAGATTTTTTTTTTCCTCATCGCTTGAATAACTGGGAATTTGTTTACTATGCCTTTTGCTAAGGGTTTTCCAGAGTCTTTGTTGCCCCCTCCAGGAGGAGTTTCCTTAGGAGACGCTGGAGCAGCGGATGCTGGGGGAGCCCATCTGGGTGAGGACCTTGTCCAGCCACTGCAAGGGCCCGTTGAGGTGCAGCTCAATCCAGCAGGGAGTGCTGGTCACCGTCTGCCTCCTGCCAGGGGACACAAGACACAAATGATTTACCAAACCTGACAAATGGCGAAGGTTTCACAGCTCCTCTACGTTCCTTCCTGCTTAGGGGCCAAGGGGATGCCTCTGCTCTGGAACAGCCTCTGGCCTGTGCTGCTCTCACTTGTGCTAAAAAACCCACCTTGTCCCTTCACACTTGTTAGGATCCCACAGGAGCAACTCTCTGAGGAACCTGTTTAATGCTCAGATTGCTGGCAACAGGCAGAGGATTGCCTGAAGGGAAAGGAAGGTGTTCATCTCAGCAAAATCCTTCAGTTTTATTTTTATTTTTGGGACAGCGAGGGGAGTGTTCACCAGACAGGGTCAGTTTCCCGGTGTCCGAGACCAAGACATTCTCTTTTACCAGATCTTTGGGTTCTGGCAGCAGGTGGAAGTGCTGGAGGGAGATCACCCTGAGCCCTTCAGACTCCCCCCCACAGCCCTGGGGCCTCTCCCTCGTGTGCCCACACTCCCTGTGTATGGCCCTGTCCCACTCTCCTCCCTGTTATTCCCATGTCAGACCCCAGGGAGCATCTCCAGATGGTAAAGCAGGAAGAGATGGGAAGGGAGGCCAAGGCAGAGGGCAAGGGGCTCTCCCTCCTGTGCCCAGGCATGGCCCACGTCCTGCTGCAGGCAGGGAGGCAGGGACAGCTGCTGTGGAGGAGGGAGAAACAAGAGAAACAGCCTGGAAACAGCCTCGTTTTACACCCTCATTGCCCACAGAAGCTGTCCTTGGAATCTGGTGGTGGGAGGCAGAACACAGAGCCTGTGGGGCTCAGGGAGAAATGGCTGATGGAAGGGGGGACCCTGAGTTTGGGGGCTGCCCTGAGCTCCCACCACCATCCTGCCCTCTGTGCTCCCACCACCATCCCTGTCCCTCTGTGCTCCCCCTCCATCCCTGTCCCTCTGTGCTCCCCCTCCATCCCTGTCCCTCTGTGCTCCCACCACCATCCTGCCCTCTGTGCTCCCCCTCCATCCCTGTCCCTCTGTGCTCCCCCTCCATCCCTGTCCCTCTGTGCTCCCCCTCCATCCCTGTCCCTCTGTGCTCCCACACCAGGGTGGGCAGCTGGGCCTGGCTGGTGCCATGCAGTGATTCCAGGAGGAGTGGTTTGTTCAGGGGTGTCCCTTCCCTCTCCCAAATCCCTGGCACACACGAATCTAAACCCCCCCCCAACACCAGAGTGCTGGAAAAGGCTGAACAGAAAGCAGGGAGCAGAGCTCTGGATGCTGCTCCCACAGGAACAGCTCCATGTCTGAGCCAGCTCAGCACCCTCCCCTGCTCTGGCAAAGGCACCAGAGGGGGGATTTTGGGGCAGGGAAAGGCAGGAATGGGAGAGCAGCCCTGGGGGGAGCGCAGGGCTCGGGGCCTCCCAGCTCCCATCTCCAGAGAGATCCCGACTTTCCGTAAGTGACGGAGCTCAGCTGGATCTCATTCCCTGCCGTGGCTCAGAGCCAGGCCTGGCCCCCAGGCAGGACAATTCCAACACGAAATGGACTCCAAACATCTGGAGAAATGAGAAAGTGGGAGCGGAACGTGCCGCGCTCAGGCTCTGGCTGATCCCGGCGCTGATCCCGGCGCTGATCCCTGCCCACCACAGGCCATGGGGAGCAGCAGGGCAGGGACTCAGCAGGGCAGGGACTCCCCCAGATTTCTAAATCAATTTTGGCTTAAATCCTCACCTGCTTTCTCTCTCATAGAACAACGTTCATTTTCCAAGGAATTTCGTCTCCCCTGCCTGTCCTATCCAGCCCTGACTTCACTCCCTGTCTCAGTGCGGGGGCAGCAGCCCAAGCCATGGAATCCTCTGTTCCCCACACCATCCCCACTGTCCCTGGGTGCTCAGAGTAACCATATCATCCATCCCAAACGCCAGGCCCTACTGCATCTCCTTATTTCTCTTCCCTTTTCACTGGGAAAAACAGGGATCCTGCTTCTCCCACATTTCAGCCCTTGCCCTGTGACAAGCCCCAAGGAAAGGAGCAGGAGATTTAACTGGAATTTTGCAGTAACTCAAACAGTTCTCTCAAATAGACATTTTCAAGCCAATCTGCTTTGGTTTAATCCCAGTAGTCCCTGATAAAAGGAGCATTAAAGCCAACCTGTAGGAAGCATCCACACTCACACTGGATGTAATTCCACAAGGGCCTGGAAGGACAGGACACAGGGAATGGTTTCCCATGGCCAGAGGGCAGAGTTAGGTGGGAGATTGGGAAGGAATTGTTCCCTGTGAGGGTGGGCAGGCCCTGGCACAGGTTGCCCAGAGAAACTGTGGCTGTCCCTGGATCCCTGGATGCGTCCCAGGCCAGGTTGGAGCAACCTGGGCTGGTGGAAGGTGTCCCTGCCCATGGATGGGTGGCACTGGATGAGCTTTGAGGTCCCTTCTCACCCAAACCATTCCATGATTATCTGATACTGTGGACCTGTCTTGATAACAAGGCAGTCCTAACACACTCAAACCATCAAATCAACATCTCATTTTAAGGAAATAAAACCAGTAGGAGTCTCTCCCTGGACCATCTGGATTTATCTGTGCTTCAGGTAAAGCTCTTGGCTGGTGCCAGACACTTGTGGTGTTCCAGGTGCATCCCACAGTGTGTGTTTTACACAAACAGGATGGGAAAAACATCAGGGGAGATCAACCCCAACAGCTACCACCCAGACACTGGGCTAACCCCCACTCTTCAGATGGGAACAAGGGCTTTGCAGACCCCTCCTAGGCTGGGAATTGGAGGAGTGGAAGGGAAGCACAGACACGGAGCCAAGTTTGATCCCAAAGCTGACCTGTACTCCGCTCCCCAGCCCTTGACGAAGCTCATCCTGATGGTGCACATCCTGGTCAGCTGGTACACGGCCTCAAAGCCCTGGTTCACCGACTGAGCCAGCAGAGCAGCAAACTCCTGGTTGTTGAAAATCTTCAGGTTGCACCCTGTGAAAGGAGAAGAGGCCAAGGGCAAGGCAAGGTGTCTGCAGATGTGATTTCCCTCAAATCAAGCTAATTCACAAAGGGGAGGAGGGGTGAATGTTAGTACAGAGCAGAAAAAAAGTAACAATTTAATTCTATGAGGGGTGAATCTAAATTAAAGAGAAATTTCTGCCCTTTTACTTAAAGGTACAGACAAAGTTATCCAAGTGACTATCAGGTAATTACAAGTCAATAATAGACTGGTAAAACACAGAAGGAGCAAGTGGAAGATTCTGCTCAGAACCTGAGATGAACTCAGTTGGTCAGAGCATGGTGCCAATAACACCGAGGTTCTGGGTTTGATCCCCCAGATTCCTTCCAGAGTTGGACTCCAGGATCCTTGTGGGTCCCTTCCAACTCAGAAGATTCAGTGATTCTGATTCTGAAGTTCTGTTCATCCCAATTTTGAATTAGTGTAGTGCAACTACTGGAACACCAATAGCTTCCTTCATCAGTACCTTCATCCTTCAGGCTATAAAAATGCCCTGCTTGAACTGTCAATTTGCTTATGAAAGGGGGAAAAGCAGGTTGCACAGAGAGGACGTGGACTGCTCATCCCTGGGAGTGTGCCAGGAAGGACCCTGGAGCAAAACCTGCTGCAAGGTGTCCCTGCCCACGGTCTCTTCCCACCCAAACCATTCCACGGCTCCGTGAGAAGTTCCTGATGGCTGTGGGGACCAGAGGCCAGCACATCCACGCCCCCACCTCGGCAGGGAGCAAAGCTGGTCCCAGCCAGTCCCTGGCAGCAGCAGGAGGAGCTGTGTGGGCCGTGCCTTACCTGGGGGGATCTTGCAGACGGTGGCCGGGTGCCACCCGTAGCGCTGGTTGCAGTTGGGCGACTGCACGAAGATGGCACTGTCGCTGAGGCACTCGGCAAACACCTCCCCACCGATGTAGTAGAGCCTGACTCCTCTCCCTGGGAAACACAGGGCACAGGGGGATTTAAAATCTGATTTCTAAATCTTGGGGCTTTTTGTTTGTTTGTTTAGTTTGTCTGTTTGTTTGTTACCAGAAATCATATTTGAAACAAGTACGGAAAGATCCTCCTGTACAAGGGGGAGGATTCTCCTGTTGCTCAGAAAAGGGGAGCAAAATTAGGACAAAAATCAGGTTCAGTTTGGATGGAAGTCAGCAGGAAACAGCAAAGCATAAGAAATTCTGTCTTTTAGTAAAATTGGGATGTTCTGTTTAGCCCGAGTTTCATGGAAAACAAATTGAATGTTACCTTGCAGTATAAGCAGGGAAAGTGGAAATTGAGTTGCCAACCAAGGAACTAAAAGTCTCCATTTTATGAAAGGTCAGTCAGAAAATCAAATAGTGCAGGAGGGGAAAGGAATACACACAATTATCCCTGACACCCACCCGAACACACGGGAATTCTGCCTCTATTCCATGCACCAATTTAAACGTTCCTTGGAGCGTTTTTTTAACATGATTATCTGAAAAACCCCCAACCAGTGTTGCCTTATGGAAGATCAGCCTCCCAAAGCCCCGTGGATATTCCAGGATCAGGAGGATCAGGTGCAGCTCTCCCCCCTCCAGCCGGGAGAGGCCGCAGGAATTACCGATGTGTCTCCTCGTGAGCTCCACGGCGGCGTTTCTGTTCACGTTGGACAGCAAGCCCAGGCAGAAACGCTCGGAATTCGAGGGGTCAGTGAATCCATCCACGGTCATGGAGGGCTGGGAGGCGTGGAAAGTCTCTCCCACCCTCTGGTTGAGCTCGTAGTAGGAGATGGAGCACCAGAAGGCCGGCTCGCAGTAGGTGACGGGCTGCAGGTCTGCACCAAACACAAACCCCAACATTGCATTAACACTGGCATTCAAGTGACTTAAAAATTAGAAATAAACAAAACACAAAATTAGAATTATAAATTAAAACAATCCCAGGGCTCTTGATCTCAAACCATCCAAAGAAAATCCCTTCCCCGGCAGATGATGACACATTGGGGTTCTGATTTGATTCAGCCCACGGACCAAAGCAAAGGGATGAGCAGAGTGGGGAATTTTCAGGAAGACAACACTTCACACCCCAGCAAGGTGGGACAGTCAAATGCCATGGAATGATTTCACTGCTCCCACTGAAGCCAAGGAAATCCCAGCAGAGGAAGGCTAAAGTCAAATTTCTTGGAAAAGCAGCTCTAGAAGGTGGCCAGTCCTGCTGCCAGCCAAGACTCTGCTGAGCAGGGGAGGTGAAAAGCAGATTGAGGGAATTCCTAAGTGCTATTCCCCCCATCCAATGCAAGAGAAGAATTCCCTCCAGTCCTCCCCCCCAATTTATCACTTCATTCCCATCCATTCAAGTGGCAGCACAGAACAACTTCCCATCTGGCCAAAGAGTTAACCCTGAGCAGCAAAGCCCAGCTTTTTCCAGAGGCTTTTCCCATCTGCTGCTCCTGCACCACTTACACCAACGTGAGGCTTAAGAGATCAGCTCCAAGACAATCCAAGACAGGTATTTCCCATCCCAGCCTCCTCTCTCCCTGAGTCTCTGCAGAGGTCTGGGAGTCTTTTCTCAGCTGGTACCTGCTGTTGCTCCATGAGCTTCAGGCACAGGTTGGCTCCAGCCCCAAGACATCCTGGTTTCCTCTCTGTTCCTGCACTGTATGAGTTCCCAAAGTCCCCAATAATCAGGAAAACCCCTTTGGTTTCTGCTTTGCTCCCAGCTTTGCTGACTGCAGAACAGAAGTGCATCTGGGGAACTCTCTAATCCTCAGCACTCTTCAAAGGCCAGGAATTTTGGAGCTGATACCCATTCCCAGCTTCTTTTTCCTGCAATTTCCTCACATTTTTAAGCAATTTTCTAGCTAAGACCAAGATCTGCACAGATCCTGAACACATCCAGGGATCACACAGGTCTCTGACTCTTCCTCCTGGATGACATATTTGGTTTTCCCGCTGGGAACTGCCACACCAGGCACGTTTCTCCAGCAGTTCTGGGGAGAGGCACAGCAAACACCAGCAATAATCAGCCTCCTAAGGTGGGTCCACCCACTCGAGGAAACAGATTGTGTTCCACGTGACTGTGCTCTGACTCCACAGCAAGCACCTCTAATTGAGAGGCTGCTCAGCTCCAGAAAAATCACATCAACTTCTGCTGATCCCAAAGTAACACCCTCAGATTGGCACTATTCAAGTTATAAAACCACCAAAACCTTTACTGCCCTCCATGGTTTCATGGTCCTTTCCTTCAGAAACCACCTCCTCTTGGCTGGCACTCGAGGGAACTGTGGATTCTCCACCGAAGGATGGACAGAAATTTGATTTCCGGCCTATTTGCAGCTCGAGGAAAGACACAAACCAACAAATCCTGGCTTGGAGAAAACCTTGCCTCTAAAAACAGCAACCAAGGCTTTAATGATGCTGCTTCCTCCTGTGATTTGTAGTTCTGAACTTCAGCTTAAGCTGCCATGGGATGGGCAAATTTCCTCTCGCGTTAGAGCTGTCCTAAATATTCATCTTCAATTTACGGTTTTACTGTTTGGGGAAAAAGGGAGAGACTGGAGCTCTGCTAAAGCCAGAGAACCCTGAGGGGGCCACACAATCAACCACAACAGGAGACATGAAAACCAGGCAAATCCTGCCTGAATCATCCCCCTGCAATGCCAGCCTGGGCTCAGCCCAGCTCTGCTCTCTGAAGTGTCCCCTGAGCTCTGGGATGTTCCCATTCCGCATCTTCCCTGCAAGATGAAAGTCCTGCCTGTTCACTCTGGAGGGGAACAATCTCCTGGCTGCTTTGCTCTCTTTTCATGTGCTCTGAGCAGCAGACAAGTTGTTTTCCTCGTTGCAGTGGCTGTGTTTGATGCTCAGAGATGTTTTCCAACCGCATCAATCCGAATTCCCTCCCCAGGAACGAAGGGATGAATAGATGTGTGTGCTCCCTTCCCTCCCTGCTCAGAGGAGGGCTGGCCTTCCTCTGGGAAAGGGAGTTTCAGCACAGCGTTCCCGAGGTTTGTGTGACTGATGGATGTGACCGTGGGGCATGTGCTCGTTTCTCTCACAGCTTTTGCGTCAAGTGTGGAGCAAACCCTGACAATGGATTTCCTGTGCTCCAAGGGGCTGCCTTCCCTCCAAACAACAATATCCATGGACCACAGGGCTGGCCCTCAGCCAGCCTCAGCTCCCTGACTTCGTTCCCAATGTCCACAGAAGGCTGGCAACTCTTTCATTTCGACTGTTCTGTATTTTCCCCAGTCCATGTTTCGGTTATGGGGAAGAGATCCCTGGATATCTGCAACTCCCATTTAAAGCTGATGTTTGACAACTGAAAAGTGATCTCAGCATGTTACCTTGCACCACTTTTGTGGCTGCGAATGGAAAGATGAAACTCCCCGAGTTCCTCCAATCCCACGTTCCAGCTCCGTGCTGAAATCCATCCCCTGCACCCCAAACTGCCCCTGCTTCTGGTGTCCCACTCCCTCTGCCTCGGGCCAGTTTATTGCCCCTGGAGTTCCCTGGAATATGGCCATGGGATTTGAGTGCAAAGTTCAGTTTACACCGAGTAATGTGTCTTAAAAGCTTCAGGTAGTTCTGCTCAAATAAACAAATCAGCCCTTTACGGGACATTATTTTGTGAACATCCCCCCCCACACACACACTGCTGAAACACTCCCTCAGTGCACACTCTGCTGGGGGTTTTAAATTTCCACCCCATTTTCTTCCCAAACATCCAGAGAAAGCCTGATGAGATCAAAGGACAGCCCAGACAGAGGGGAGTTCTGATCCCTGGAATTACAGAGCGCAGGCAGGATCCTTCCTGGGCTTGCAGGAACCATCAGCCTGAAGGGCTGTGTTCACCTCCACTGCTGCGGCAGCTCCTTAGTGTAGATAAACCATCTACAAGGGGCAGCTGATGCCAACTTTGCCCTGGGATAGCTCGAAGTGCTGCTCATCCAAGTGCCGTTTCATTTAGTTATTATTTTCCAGTTTCCTCACGGGCCAAAACTGGCAATAAAATTAAAAGCCACGAGGATTTCTTCACTGGTGGAAGCTCTTGTCTAAGAGCAATATAAATATTTGGCTTGCAAAATTGAGAGGTATCTTTTAATGCTGGTGAGTTAAAGTGCTTTTCTGCTGTCTGCTCCTTAGACTACAAAGGGATTCCTTGTGGTTAACCAGCTTCACCTGCTTCTACTTATTTTTTGTCACCAGACAGCACACGAGACATCTGACATGTGTTAATAACCAGTGTCCCTGTTATGGATTGGGGCCTCTTTCCTAGAAACACTTTTCTAAGGCAGATGCCACAGTCAACTTGCCAGGTTGGTTTTGTTCCATGGAATTGGCTTTTTATTTTTAGGTTGGGGAAAAAGAAAAAAAAAAAAAAGAAAAAAAATTAAGTTTCTAGAAAATCTCATCAGCTCCCAGGCAGCATCCTGG